ACCCCCAGCCCCTCACAGCCTCCCACAGCCTCCCACAGCCCCCCACAGACCAGGGCCAGGCTGCCCTAAGCCCTTCCCACCCACCCTGGAACCAGCCCTGGCATCATTCACGCAGGCTCCTGGTGGAGCAGGGTGGCCGAAAACAGAGAGGACACTTCTGCCACCAGTGGACACATTGCCCAGGGCCACAGCTCAGCTGTCTCTGCAGAGCTTCACACTCGGGAGAGGGAACAATGCCACCTTCTTCCTGCCTGGACTCCAGTCAGTCCTCAGGGCCAAGGGCGGGGCTCGTGGAGCGCAGGGCAGGCGGCCACATCTCTGTGATATGATGTAGCTGAAGGCTGCTGGGCTCACCTGCAACAGCCAAGGGTGCCCCACTGGGCTGAGCTCATGAAGGACAAAACATGAGCCTGGGCACAGGGGAGACACTCGGCAAGTGGCCCTGGAGATGAAAGGGGCCATCTGCTCTTCACTTCTGTGGCCAGAGAGTGACACACAGACCTAAGGACAGGCCCTGCGAGGCCCTTCCCTGCTCTGGACCCATGTGCTGAGTCTGACACACGAGCAGAGCCAGCTGCAGCATGGCGGGAAGAACTGCCTATGTTCTTTTTCCCCAGAGAAGCCACAGGCACTAGACGGGCCAAACAGCCAGGCTGGGGACAATGGCTCCCACGTGGGGTGCCCCGCCCACAGCCCCAGCCTCCACTGGCCCCAAGTCAAACTCAGCTTGGAAGTACAGGTTTACATGGTAAGGAAGGAAGTACTAACATGGAAGTCAACCAGATCCATACAACAAGTGGGACCTAGGCCAGGTCACCCCAGTGGGTGGGTGAGGACTCTGCCTCCATCACTTCCATGGGCACCAGAGCCCAGCAGAGGGTCGCAGGCGGCCCGGGCCTCAGCCACATGCACACACACACACACACACACACACACACAGAGGTTACCTGCACCAAGCTCAGATGGGGGAACAAGGAGAAGCACAGCCATAGAGCAACGGGACCCTCACGGGGCACACCCAGGTGCTTAGAACTCTACAAATAAATGCCACAAACAGGACCTGGAGAAACACTCGCCTGGAGAAACAGAGCCGTACCCTGGCAACAACAGAGCTGGGACTCAAACCCAGCCTGCTAGGGCCCAAGGCCCACAAGCTCAGCCACCGGCTCTGCCTCCCAAAGGTACAGGTATTAATCACACCTTTATAAATGAAACAGGGGAGGAAAAAAAATTACAGGAGGTGGCCACCATCTCTCTGGGAAACCTGGGTTTGTTTTAGTTAGCATCGACTGGGGCCAGGCGCCTGGGTCCTCCAGCCCAGCCCAGGAGCTGAGCAGTTATGTCACCTCTGTTCCCAGCACTCCACACCATGACTCATGGTCCAAACCTACCATCCACTCCCGGCTCCCCACAGCAGATGCCACAGCTTGGCAAAGCACAGCCACGGATCACCACAGGGCAACATGGGCAGACCAGAGGCCAGCAAGGGCCTCAGAGCCAGCACTGCCTCCCTGGAAACCAGGGCTGATGACCAGGGCCCCTCTGCAAACTCCTGGCCACATGGCTGGCAGGTCCAATGATAAGTTTAACCCAAATTTGTGTACGCCTTACATCATCACATTCTGCTGTAGCAAAGTAAAAGCAAAGTGAAATTATACACTGAATCTTCGCATTTTAACTGTTGGCCAAGAAATGTGTTTGGCCAGGATTTTTCTGTCTTTTTCTCTACACAGTACAGTCGAATCTCTGTAAGCTGACCACCCAGGGACTACCACAAACTACTTAACATATGAAGGTGGTTGCCATAAGAAACTAGGTCTACTGTGCTGACACCCACATGGTGCACGTCGGATCTGTGAGCATCAGGCCGACTGACAGAGGTGGTCAGTGCAGCAGCTGGTCAGCTGTGGAGGGTCTACATTCTAGATACATCCGTGTCTGAGTGTGTCTGAGACACGAGAGAGAGCACACATGTGCAGTGCATCCATAGGTGTGAGTGTGAGTGTGTGCAGTTCTGTGGTCATGAGTTGTATATACAGCCAAGTGTGTGTATAGTCTGAACATGTGAGTTGTGTATGTCTGTGTGTGTACACGTGTGTGTATATCTCTGTGTTCATGTATACGTATACGTGTGTGATAGTATGTGTGTATATGTGTGTCTGTGTCTGTATATACATGTATGTCTGTGTGTATGTGCATGTATGTGTACATGTGTGTCTCACAGTGTGTCTGTGTGTACATGTGTTTGTGTGTATGTGTCTCTATGTACGTGTCTGTATGTGTTGTACATGTGTCTATGTGTCTGTGTGTACGTGTGTGTCTGACAGTGTATGTGTATATGTGTCTGTGTATATATGTATATGTGTATGTATGTACATGTGTGTGTCTGACAATGTGTATGTGTGCGTGCATGGGTGTGTATGTGTCTGTGTATACATGTGTCTGTGTGTAGCTACATCTGTGTCTACATGTGTTTGTGTGTATGTGTTTGTGTGTACATGTGTCTATATGTGTGTACATGTGTCTATGTGTGTGTACATGTGTGTCTCTGCATACACATATATATGTGTATGTACATGTGTCTGTGTGTATATGTGTCTGACAATGTGTATGTGTACTCGTCTGTGTATACATGTGTCTGTGTGTATGAGTGTACATGTGTATACATGTGTCTGTGTGTATGTCTGAGTGTACATGTCGACTGTGTGCACATGTGTGTCTAACCATGTGTATGTGTGTATACATCTGTGTGTACATGTATCTGTGCATACATGTCTGTGTATGTGTGTGTCTGCGTACATGTGTCTGACAATGTGCATGTGTGTACATATGTCTGTATGTACGTGTGTACATGCGTCTGTGTGTAGATGTCTGTGTGCATACGTGTGCATGTGTCTGTGTTACATGTGTGTATGTCTGTGTGTGCATGTGTCTGTACATGTATGTGTGTCCATATTGACTGTGTATATGTGTGTCTGTGTGTAAATGTGTTTGTGTGCGTACATGTCTGTGTGTACATGTGTGTACATCTGTCTATGTGTACATGTGTCTGTGTGTGTCTGTGTGTACATGTGTCTGTGTACATGTCAACTGTGTGTCTGTGTGTACGTGTGTCTGTACATGTCTGTGTTCATGTGTGTACGTGTCAACTGTGTCTGTGTGTATGTGTGTCTATGTATACATGTGTGTACATTTGTCTGTGTGTACGTGTCTGTATATACATGTCTGTGTACATGTGTGTCCATGTGTCTGTATGTACGTGCGTCTGTGTCTATGTGTATGTATGCTGACTGTGTCTATGTGTGTACATGGCTGTGTGTAAGTGTGCTGACCGTTGTCTGTGCACATGCATGTTCTACCCTGTGTAGAACCTCCAGCCTCTTCCTCACCCAGGCCCCTGCAGCAAATTCATCTCCACTATTCTCAGAGAGGAACAGAAGTGAGCCTCAAACTACCTTAAAATCAACCTTGGGCTCGAAGAAGCCACTTCAGGAAAGGAAAACAGCACAGGAGCTCAGCTCCCACCACACCCGCCCAGAGGACATGGCCTACAGGGGGACAGGTGGCCCTGGATGGGCCTGAAACCCCCAGACAGGTGCACTGCAATAGAGGCATATAGGGGAGTCACTGAAGAGACAGATAAAAACTTGTAAGACCTGATGGCCACACAGAGGTGGGCTCTTGAAGGGGTCCCCAAATCTCATGTTTGTACAACTCCAGAATGGAGGAAGGCACCTCCTGGGAAAACCCTAGTTATCCAACGGCCCTGACACTTCCCAGGAAGGGCTCCTCTTGGACAGACTTCTCAGTGTTTGCAAATATAACATAACCTGTACCACCAGGCACAGTGGCTCACGCCTGTAATCCCAATACTCAAGGCCAAGGCAGGTGGATTATCTGAGCTCAGGAGTTCAAGACCAGACTGAGCTAAAGTGAGACCCCTGTCTCTAAAAACAGCCAGGTGTTGTGGTGGGCACCTGTAGTCCCAGTTACTTGGAAGGCTGAGGCAAGAGAATCACTTGTGCCCAAGAGTCTGAGGTTACTGTGAGCTGTGACACCACAGCACTTACTGACAAAGTGAGACTCTGTCTCAAAAAAAAAAATTGCCTCTGCATTTCACAAATCATGTATTCACAGAATGCTTCCTTACACACCAAGTCCCTGATAGTGGTCCTCAAATAAATCAGGCAACAATTACCCGCTACTTCCCATCAGGTAAAAATACAGTCCTCTGCTAGTCCAGGTAGCAGCTGTCTCGCAGAGCCATGCCAGCGCCTGCATGGGTGTCAAGGGAAGGCTGTGAGCAGGTGGGGCCGGCCCCTCCCACTCCCAGCCCCTGAGCTGTCAGGGAGGCGGCATGGTACTGATCCCACAGGTTTAGGATAGCAGCTGGGACCTGCTGGGCTTCAGGAGGCATGTGGCCAACACCCTACATAACTCTGTACCTGGCTTACCAGGGAGCCCCCAAAGGGCCAGAGCCCCAGGGCATCTGTACCTGCCAGGCTCGGGTCCCCTCCCCTGTGCCAGCCGGGCTTGTGCAGAATAGCTGCCATGTGATGGTTCCCAGGAACACAAGAACAGTTCCTAGGGTTGTCTGCCAGGGACCTAGGGGGTCACCTCTGCAGAATCAGCCCCCCTTGCCTACCCACCCAGGCCAGACACAGCTCTGCTTGTTTCAGGCGGAACCAAGAAGGCTCCATCCGGGCTTCACCTCAATGTCCTGCCAACCCTTCTTGAGGCGACGCTGGCAGCAGCCCATTCTCTGATGGAGAACTGGTGATTCAGGGCTGCTGGCTAGAAAGGCAGGCCCAGAGTCACCCAGCTCTGCTCCCAAGCATCCACCCAGATTCATGAGACGAGACCTGGAGGGAGGGCCATGCACCTGCCGGCACCTGCCAGACGTGAAGATGGAGAGCTCCCCACCCCATGTGGGGGTGCAGGCCCACTTTGTCCATCCAGCCTACCTGCTGCTGGGACTAAGCTGGGAAGTGAGCACTCACCTTTCCAAAGTCTCGGACATCGAAGAGGTCGAAGGGGTCAAACAGCTCGCTGTTTCTCAGCCCAAACTTGTCGTGGCAGACTTTAAGGAAGGTGCGGATGTTCTTCAAACATAGGAACTAGAGACGAGAAAGGAGAAATCATTAACCTCAGACCTCGGGGTCTGCAAAATCAGTAACAGCAGCAGCAGGCCCCTGCTGCATGCCAGCACGTTTCAGCACACTCCTGTCTCAGAGAGCTCAGGACTCCCCCAGTCCCAAGGTGAGAGACAGGCCCGGACCAAAGCAGGAGGCCAGCTCCACGGCTTGAGCTTCTGACCACCATGGGGCTCTGGCACCCCCAGCACTGAGCTGCAAAGCCCATCAGGGCCTTCACACTTGCAAGACACGCCATTCCCCAGCCTGCCAGCACACCTGGCACAGACGGCACCTTGCCCTCCGTGACATCCACCCATCCCCTCTAGGTGCATCCAGCACATTTCAGGACTGACAATCACAGCTGGAGGAGAACAAGCCAGCCTGGCACCAGTAAAGATTCTGAGCCTGTGCGTGAGTGCATACAGGCACACAGACACAGCCCCCCTCAGGTGACAAGGTCCACAGCCAGGAGCCACTCGCTGGGGGCCGTGGTGGACCCAGCCACAGGAGCAGGGCCCCAATTCCCCAGTCAGCACGTGGGCATACCCCCTGTACCCGCCCTCCCCTCAGCTCCACTGAGCACCTGCCAGCCCCAAGCTTGTCACGCATCTGTTATGGGAGGAATGGGAAGAGGGGGCATCTTTCCAGACTTTGTGGGGAAATAGCTAGCAAAAATGCTCTTGGGGCGAGACCGGGGGAGGGGGTGTTGGTAGGCCTGGTGTCCTGCCACAACCTGCCTCATGGGTTCATCATGAGCCCTGACCGCACAAAGTAGGCACTGGAGACGGGAGCCTCCAGCTCAGCACAGCATTCCCCAGGCCTCCACACACATTGCCTGAGAACACCCTAGGATTTCAGACCTGTCCTTGTCATCAGCAACCATCCTCTGAGGACAAACTGCTGAAGCCTGCCCCTGCTCACAAGAAACAGGCGAATGAACAGACTGAGTAGAAAACAGGGTCAAATCAGAGCCTCAGGGCAGGGACTTGAGCCACTGCTCGGGCTGTGAATCAAGTGCAGTGGGTGTGCTAAGCCCCATCCCACCTGGACACACCCCTGCCTCCTCGGGAGCTCCCTCTGCCCTGGGCCATCGGTCACTGTTCACTCCTTAGTTTTATCCCAGAGTCATTGCCTGTCTCTGTGTGTGTGATTACGTGTATAATTTTTTCTGAACATTTGAGAACCCTCTTATCCCCAAATATCTGTGTGTGTGTGTGTGTGTGTGTGTTTTTCCTAAGAACGAGGATACCAACTTCCATAACCACAGTGCTAGTGTCAGAGCTAGGACGTCAACATGGACACTGCGGTCATCTCACTTACACACCTTAATTACATTCTTCAATATACAAAGAGAAGGACACCAAAATGTCCTTTACAGCAAAAAGAAAACCTGGTCCAAGGTTTGATCCAGGACCACACACGAGTCTGGCTGTCACGTTTCCGTGGTGCCCGTTCACCTGGCACAGTATCATCCAACAGAACTTTCCGGAACGATACAGATGTCCTGCCGGGGTGCTGATCTGTCCAGGAGGATACTATGTGTGGGCATTTCAAGTGCCCGCTAGACACAAGTGTCCAGTGGGTGCTTAAAATGTGGCTAGCCCAACTAAAAACTAAACTTCGGATTCAATGTATTAATTAAGTTAAATTTTAAAGCTAGTAACTGCTGGCTTAGATAATGGGATCCAAAACAATCCGTGACCTTTGTCTTTTATGACTTGATAATTCTGAAGAACACACAAAAAGATCAGTGCTGTGCAATTCGGCCTCTAGTCCTCAAGTCCACACACAGGAAGCAGTGCTGGGGCTGGGGGAGGGAGCAGTGTTGAACACCTGACGGTCTGGGAAGGTGAAAGTTCTGCAGATGGACAGCATGATGCTGCAGGCTGTGAATGTGCTTGATGCCACTGAGCTGTTCTCTTGGAAGTCAAGCCATCATATTTTATGCTGTGTTTAATTAATAAAAGATTAATTACAATATGAGAGAGAGAGAGAGATGGAAACAGACCTGTGGGGAATGCACATGGCAATGGAGGCAGAGACTGGACAAAGCAGCACAGGCTGGCACCAGCAGGTCAGCTGACAGCCGAGTGGGCAAGGCACCAGGACGGCTTCTTCCCCAGGGTCCCCAGGAAGATACATGCTGCCCACCAAGCCCTGACAGGGATGCCTGGCCCCCAGCATGCTGAAATAGCAGGTTCCTGACTCTGTAAACCAGCAGGTGTGTGGCCCTCCATTAGGCAGCCTGGGACACTCAAACTCAGCTCCAGCCTGAAAACCAGGGTATGGGGGGATCTGAACAGTCGAGCCCCTGGCCACCCCCTGCTGTTCCGCTGCCTGTGGGACACACTGCAGTGTCCAACCTGGCTCTGCTATTTTTTGCACATGGCTCATCTCTAATTTCCACTAAGCATTTATTTTAATTCCTCTACAGCCTCCCAGTTTTAGAGTTAATTACACAGGTCCCAGCCATAATCACAGCCCTGGCTTCCTTTTCTGCTCAGAAGGAGCCAGTGCCCTCACCCACAGGCCCCCCCATCCCAGGCCGCTCCAAGGCAGCTCTGTGTCCATGCTGGACACATACAGCCTCTGGAGGACTGAGCTGTCCAGACAGATGTGACCTCAGGAACAGGGCACCAAGAGTCCAGTGTGGCACTGCCTCAGGTTGCACCCAGAAAGGAAGACACACATGGGGCCTCCCTGGGAGAGTTCCTGGCTTTTGCCCACCTGATGAGTTTATTCTCATCTTAATTCCTCTCATTTTACACAAAGGGAAACTGAGGCACTGACAGTTAAGGACTTCAGTCCCAACCAGAAAGTGGCAGAGCCCAGAATAGACCCATTCCAGCTTCAGGGGGAGCCCCCTGTGAGGATAGGTCTGTGTCCAGCTCTGTCCCCCACACTGGGGGCACGCACTATACTCTCCTAAGGCATGTGGCCTCTACCGTGGGTTAGAACCTCCCCTTCCCACATAGCAGGGAGGCACTCAGAGTCCAGGACACCCTGAAGGTCTGAGGGTGGGAGAACGCAGAACCCCGCTGCCACAGGCACATCTCAGCCACGTGGGGCCAGTCGAGGGGCAGGCTGAGGGAGGCCCAGAAGGTGGTCAGGCTCGTCTCAGCCACATGGGGCCGATCGAGGGGCAGGCTGAGGGAGGCCCAGATGGTGGTCAGGCACATCTCAGCCACATGGGGCTGGTCGAGAGGCAGGCTGAGAGAGGCCCAGATGGTGGTCAGGGCAAAGCCAGCAATTCCTTGTCCTTGCTCAAAGTTGGTGGTGTTGGGTTTGGCCATCACCCATGGCCAAGGGAAGGCTGGCCAGCACCCTAGACCAAGTCCAGCTGAGTGACCACAGGAAGGGGCTCCCCCCAGACATGGCTCCAGGATGAGCGGCCCGGGGCTGGGTCGGCACTACCTGGCTGGTGGGCTCAGGGCCCCCAAGGGGCACAGGCTCCCCAACACTCCTACCCACTGCCTCAGCAAAGGCAGGGTGTAGGGCAGCCTCTCCTCCCCCATGGCTCATCAGGGCCATTCAATCTCATCAGTCCAAAATCAGATTAGTGAGGATGGCACCACACCCAGCCACCCACTGTCCCACGCTCTGGGTATAGCACAGTCAATCTCCAGAACCAGGCTGAGATCACTTTCCTCTAACAGCTTTGACACAACATCCCATGTTGGGGAGGTGATGCCAGGAACAGCCTCCCCAATCCTGCAGAGGAGTCCCACTGGGTAAGAGCTGCCTGGAGGCCACAGGGCCCTCCTGCTATCCCTCCCTGGGCTCCCCCAACAGTGCAGGGAGGGGCACAGGACAGGCCTGCCTGTGTCGAGAGCTGACACCTCCCTGGGATGCTCGCACACCTCAGAACTGAGAGGTGGGTACAGAAGGGGAAACTGAGGCCTGGGACAGTGAAGCCACTTGCCTGAGGTCACAAGTTACAAGGCTTTGGCCCGGGATTTGCAATTTGAACACAGGAGGCCAAGGCACCGAACACTGGACCATGGGGGAGCAGTAACAGGGAAGCTGACTGCTAACCGCATGCCAGGTAAATGCTGACATGATCCCATGACCAGCCCATCTGAGGCCTGTGATGGCCCTGGGAGGGGTGCAGTATCATTGCCCCATTCCACAGGCAGACAAATCGAGGTTCAGAGTGATTAGATGATGAACAGGCCCAGGATTCTTAAGGTCCCAGGAGGATGACGGGCCACAGCCCCTGCCAAAGAGTGAAGACAAGTCCTGCTTCACCAAGAACGGCAGCACACGGCCCACATAGGCACCTCTCGAAGGCTCCACACCAGGTTGGGCATGGTGCAGGGCCACCCTCTGTGGGCTGTGACTCACCTCTGTGCAGACCTGGCCCAGCCCCACCCCCCACCCCACTCCCCATGTGAGCTCAGGCAAGTCTCCCCAGAGCCCCAGGGGCCCCAGCTCAGGCCGTCTGGGAGTTTCAGTGCTGACTCACAGTTATCGGGAAAGCTACACAGTCGGGAGGGCTTTCCAGAACACCAGAACCTAAGCCAAGAGCCTCACTGCACCATCAGAGCAACCCTGAGTCACTACAGCGACTAACGTACAGCTGAGGAAACTGAGGTCCCAAGGTTACCTGGCCTGCCCAAGGTCACCAGCAAGGACATGAACGAGTGGCAACAGGCCTGGGATAATCTGACCTCCAAGGCCAGACCACTGACACGTAAGCTAGCCTACTAATCTCAAGCAGGAAATTACATGATTTTTTTCTCTTTTAAGAAAAAAACAGCCGGAGCAAAGTGAGACCCCATCTCTACTAAAAATAGAAAAAAATAAGCCAGGTATTGTGGTAGGTGCCTATAGTCCCAGCTACTTGGGAGACTGAGGAAAAAGGATCACTTAAGCCCAAAAGTTAGAAGGAGCTGTGAGCTATGACACCATGGCACTCTCCCCAGGGTGACAGAATGAGACTCTGTCTCAAAAAAAAATAAAAAAGAAGAAAATAGTACTTT